GCGCCCCTCCGCAACCCCGCGCTTGTGCCCCGCGGGTGCCGCGTTAGCGCTGCTGCGGCCACAGCACCCGGGAGAAGCGAGCGAGGGTCGTGCCCATCTTAGTGGGGGGGGAAACTGAGGCTCAGAGATGAAACGTGACTTGCGGGTGACCTACGCGGGGTGAAAGGTCACGTTGGGGTTCAACTCCCAGCTCCTGAGGGGGGCCCTGGTGAAGTCCCAGAAATACCGTCCTTTCCCTCCACCACTCCCAGGGACTTGATTCGCATCTGGTGGCTCCTGCTTGCAGAGAGGACAAAAAAGGAGAGGGCAAGGAGGCCTGGCCCACGCCTCTGATACCCGCTCTGACACTGGCTAGTTCTGCAGCTTCCACCCCAACAAATCTCTTTTGTTGACTCAAATATACAAAAACATAACTAGTTCTGGCTGCTGAGAAGCTCAGTGGTCTCTGAGACATTAGGAGGCCACCCTTAGTTTTGCTTTTCCTTTCTTCATTGGGCAATCTGGCTCCTGTCCTGGGGGCCGCGGAAGGGGTGGTGTGGGTCAGAGGGCCTCTGTGCACAGGCTCAGCCACGGGGCTTCTAAGCTCCTGTTCAGCCATTTGGCAAGGGTGACTTTTGAGAACTCTTCCTCACCCCTAGAATGAACGGTTGCTACATTTTTCTTAAGAACTCAAATTAGTGTCTAAGGGACAACACATCACTCTCTCTCTCCCAGGCACACTTCGCTGTCTTAAGGGCTTTAATGAATAACTCGCTTGATGCTCCCAAGAGTCACCCTGAATGGGCACTATTATCTCCATTTTACAGATGTGGAAACTGAGGCACAGAAAAGCTCAGTAATCACTTAGGGGTCCCACTGCCAGAAAAAGGGAAAGGCAGGATTTGGACCCAGCTAGTCTGGCCCCATCAACAAGCCTTTGGACTTGGGTGTGGACCATCCAGCCCAAGCCTCCTTTCTTCCCCTTCTCTGAGGCATTCTTAGGTGAAGAATGGGAAGGAAAATCAAGGTTATAAATCCTGGAAGGACAAATGGGGTGTGAAAACTCTTAGCAGACTTCTCCATACATAGCAGATGATCATTAACTGCCAATTCCCTTCTCCCTGCCAATCAATATAGGTTTATTCATCATTTATCCTCAGCATTTAGCATAATACTGGCATATGGTTGGTGCTCAGTTAATGCTAGTTTATCGAGTGGTATATAAAACAATATATATATATATATATACATTTATATTTATAAATGTATATATATATAAATTATGTTATTAAAATAAGTACATAAATTATGTAAATAGGGAAATGTTTTTATACTACTAAAGTACACATTTAAAATAAAAATAAAATGTGAAGGCAAAATATTACATCTGTTTTTGATCTGAAGTGCCATAAGATTAAAGGCTGGCTCAGGCTCTGTCTACATTGGACTTCCTGGGAGCAAGTGTTGGCTCTGCAATGTGGACTGGAGCCAGCTACTTCTCAGTCTCAGGCTCCTCTTCTGTAATGGGGTAGCACCTTCTTCAGGCAATGTAGAGCATTCAGAGCAATGTGTGGCACACATGTTAATATTGTTGAAGCTGTTTGATACATTTGAGCAATCCACAGGAAGTAACTTAAATGGAACAATAGATTATGGGGTGTGCTTCCCACAGGGCTATCTCAGGAGGCCCTAGCAAGGAAGCATTGTTTCCTAGTATCCTTAGACTGATGCTTCTGGACCCACTCTGGGTTGGGTGCAGCCCAGGGTCTCCCTGCCTGTGGAGACTGTGGTGGGTGGCACTTGACACTGGTGTTCTCTGTAAAATAAACCCCAAATAACCTACAGTCTGGGGAATCTACCATCTGGAGATGAAGTCATGATTGCAAAATGCCTTCCTGAACTTTGGTGTTAGCTCCCTTTTAGGAGTGGGGAACCTGGAGATCAGAAAAGTTGCCGTCAGCTACATTTCAGCTGCGGTTGAGTTAGAGTCACCCCTGTTCATGAAAAGGGTCCTTTGAGGGGCTGTGTCTACATGATCTAGAACATCTGGATGAAAAGCCAACTGTCAGTCACTGGATATCTCCTCAGCCATAGGAATATTTGGGAATCCCCAAGTGCTTGTGGTGGACATGGCTGGTGCTGGACCCCTGCAAGAGTCCTGGCAGGTCCTCTGAGCTGGGAGGAAACTCCCATGCAACAGAGGACCCAAGGTTTGGGATTCTGGGTTCCTCTGCCCACAGAGGAAGTTGTTTAAAACCAGAAGACTTAGATTAATCAACAGAAGGAGGGTAGCCCCCCCCACCCCAAGCAGGTTTGTTTTAAGAACTGAATGCCTGTAGTTTTACAATTTGCCGAGCCAAGTTTAGAAAAAAAAAAAATGTACTACAGGTAGAGTCCCATTACATGGAGCCCCAAGAGACATCAGAATTACCAGGTTGTACCAAAATCTTTTTATGTTTACTTGCCATTTGCTTTTTGGGAGTGATTTTTTTCCCCATATTTTTTATTGGTGCATTATAGTTGTACATGATCCATTGTTACATATTTGTACATGCACACAATAGCAATTTAGCCATGTAATTTGGCCAATATCATTTCCTGTATCCCCCTCTGCTTTCTCTACTAATCTTTGGAAGTGAATTCTGAAATATTTATTTATTTATTTTTTAGTTGTAGTTGGACACAATACCTTTGTTTTATTTATTTATTTTTAATGTAGTGCTGAGAATTGAACCCAGGGCCTCGCATGTGCTAGGTAAGCGCTTTACAACTGAGCCACAACCCCAACTCGTCCCCCCTGGAAATAAATTCTCTTTTCAACTGCCTATCTCTTTTCAACTGGGTAGAAGCCAGGCACCTGCATGCCTGCAATCCCAGCAGTTTAGGAGATTGAGACAGGAGAATCACGAGTTCAAAGTCAGCCTCAGCAATGGTGAGGTGCTAAGCAACACTGTGAGACCCTGTCTCTAAATAAAATACAAAATAGGGCTGGGGATGGGGCTCGGTGGTCCAGGCCCCTGAGTTCAATTCCTGGTCAAAAAAAATTCTTCTATTCTATTCTATTTCCTTTGCCCTTCGCGCCACCCTCCCCTCTCACATACACACATTAAAAAAAAAAAAAAATTGTTGATATTGTGGGAATTTCCAGTTGGGGTTTTCTGGAAGAGTGCTTTACCACTTTTCACCAGGTGGGGGCTCTGCTCAGCCACACTATTTAGCATAGCTTTGCAAATCCTCTGAGATATGACTAATGCCTAGAATTTTAGCCATGCTGTTGGACATGTTTACTGCAAGATCTGAAACCTGTGCATAACCACCTCTGGTGAGGACACGATTTTTGTGTACTTGGAAAAAAAATTCTAGGATTTGTGTTTCAGTTCATAACCCTTCCCAAAATCTTAGCCAAGAAGCCCTTTTGGAAGTTAATTTTGCTCACTACTGAGGCCCCAAAATGTTCAGACAAGCTGTACATACAGCTGGGACAGGGTCCTTGATAAGAAGGTCCCAGGATATTTATTTTCCAGTGTCTTTTAGCTTGGTGGCTTCTTTCACAGACTGGTGAAGACTAAAGAAAAAAGCATTAGGCCTGAGAAATAACAGGAATAAGTAAAATAAATAAAATAAAATAAAATAAATAAAAGCATTCACTGAATGCTTTTTGTGCTGGGGCTGTTGGAACACTTTACTAAATGAATTCACTGGAGCCTCACAGGCCTCCCCTGATGCAGATGCTAATAATGTTCTTATTTTCCACATGGGAAAATGGGTTCAGGAGAGTAGTAAGAACTGGTGGCACCTCCACCTAGAACACAAGCAGGACTTGCACCCTACAGTCAAACACCAAAGTCAACACCCTGTGCCCCTGTACCATACTGCCTCACAAGCTTGGGCATGTGTTCTATAAACTGATTCTATGGCAACTAATTTTTCAGAGAACTGTCATTAAATATTGTTCTAAGACAGGTAACTCACAGTTAAAAAAAAAATAGTAGCACTTACAAGTTCTACACATATTGAGCAGTAGCTGAGTTGTTGTGATTTCTTGAAAACTGTTCTCAGAGCTCTTTGTTTGAAACATTTGTCACAGGAGCCAAATACGTTAACTAAGAAGGTCTGATCACACATCTTTCACCCAAGGTGTTGCTGAAAGGAAATAAGAAAGGGCAGGTATGAGAGAAAACCAGTCCTTTTAGATTTGTAGCACCTCTGCTTCCTTCTATGGTGGTAGCTGCTTAGACCTGTACATGTGGGATAAATCACAGCAGTTAATTTGTAACCTTTGATTTATTGCAATACACTGGGTCAATACTTGAGAAAGCACCAGAGGATAGTGTTCTTTTTAAGTCAACATGTCTAACTGGTTGTTTGGGTGACTTGCGGAACCCTCCCAGTGGATCTTTGTAGCACAATATCAATTCTGTGGGGTTTCAGGATGGAAAACATTGTTGTAGTGAATACTAAATCTAAAATTTTAAAAACCATTCCTCCTCTCTGGGTGAACTTTTGGAGTAAAGACAAGAATCAGGAAATGGTGGAGTCTGATCCCAACCAAAAATATGAGGCTGAGTTAATGTGGAGTTGGTTCCTTGCAAAGCAGGCTTCCCATTTATTAACAGGAAGTCAAACACTCAGGTTCTTAACTGCAATCAAAAGTCAAGATGGGCCCAGGCCACCCAAGGGAGGGCATCTTTGGGGAAATATCACCATCTAGTGGCTGAAGATACAGGTTCTGGCTGCCCAGATCCCAGCCCTCTGGTCAGGTGAGTTCCTTGACCTCCTGAAGCTTTTGTTTGCTAGTCTACCAAATGGAAATCTCAAAATCATTCCTCATAGGATTTTTAGGAAATTTTAAGATGCAATGCTTAAAGCACTGTCTCAAGGTCAGAAATATAGGGGGTGCACCTGTGAGTGGTAGCAACAGTAACAGCAACAGCTTTGTGGGGGAAAAAAATGCAGAGAAAAGAGCAAAAAGAGCCTATGGCAAGACCTAATGAAGGCCCAGACCAAAGCAAGGCAGTGGGGTGGCCTTGGACCATGCTTAGGAAGGAGCAGGAGAGGGGGCTTGGCGTGAGAGAGGGAAGAAGAGAGGAGATATCTACAATATGGCCTAGGTTTCTTTTGGGAATTCTGAAGGACTGTGATGTAATGTTGGAAATAGGACAAGGCAGTTAAGAAGGGGAGTTTAGTAGGTGATCCAAAGAGGGTTAAGATTCAAAGAAATGACTCCTCGAACAGAGATATCTGGGGGCTTTGATCTGAGACTTTCCACGCAGCCAAACTTGAAAGGGATGTTTTTGTGGGGGAGGTGACAATGGGTACACTTCTGAGGGGAAAATCTGTCATGTAGAGGTCACCATGGGGCTGGAGAAGGAGCTCATGAGTTGGGGGAACTTCCGTAGCAAAGGGGCAGGGAGGGGCACAGCACTTGAGCACTCTAGGTGACAGAGGAGTAGAGGGCAGTCCTTTTGAGAGCAAAGTTACAAGGCAATCAGTTACTGACTGCCACAGAGCACTTGGCCCTAGCCTCTCACAACTGCCCCAGGAGGGAGGGAGGCAGGACATCTGTGTCACAGCTAAGGAAATGTGGAGGGACTACACAATGAGGTCAGTGATGGAGCCTGAGCCTGGATATAGTTTTACCGCAGAGCCAGTGTGATCAAGTTGTTTTGTTTTGTCGTGAAAGGAGAGTTTGCCCACCCTGGGGCTCAGTAAACGCATCTCCCATTCCCCTACCCTGCAAAGGCGGCCAGTTTTAATGTCAGGCTGAGGACACCCAGTAATAGCATTAGAACAGGCTTTAAGCAGGAGAGCAACATCATTCCAGTGGATTATTCCAGCATTTGTGCTTACAGAAGTAGGTCAGAGTGAAATGGACAGCAGGGCAGCCAACAAGGTTAGGAGATTATTTCCATGTTACAGAGGAGAGGAAATGAACGTTGGACAGAGCAGTAGCTACAGGAATGGAAGGCAAGAGCAACCCAAAGGACTATAGAAAGAGGGAAGAGGAAGTGATGGGAGATTAGGAAAATAGAAGCAGAAAAAATTGCCAATGTTCTTAATGTGGGTAGAGACAACATTTTTCTTCTCTATGAATTTTAATTTTTTTCAAATTATAAAAACTACTTATAATATTCATTACAAATAATTAGGAAACTATTTATCTATATGGCCTACACCAGCAACTGACCTGTTAACACTTTGTTTTCTTCTAGTATCTTCATAAGCATATATGTGTATACTCCTTATACACTATTTTGAACTTCTAGATTTTGCTTAATATGTGTTTTCATCTTTGCATGTTATTCTTTCTTTCTTTCTTTGGTCCTAGGGATCAAACTGAGGGCTTTTGGTGTGCTAGGCAAGTGCTCTACCGCTGAGCTACACCCCCAGTCTGGGAACACCAGTTTTTAATGGAGATCTTAAGTTTTGAGTTATTTCAGTCTTAAGTCATGTCTCATAGCTAGAATTCTAGGCCTGGGTGGTTAAAAAGGGGAATACTATAAAACAAATCCAAAGTGTTTTTAAACTACATATGTTACTTGTGTTCACTGTAGAACGTCTGAAAAAAACTCAAAAAGGTTTAAGGAATTAATTACTTATAATCCTCACCACCAGAGGGGCTCCTTTTCATATTTTGATATATATGAGGTAGATGTTTAAGATCATTGGGGGTCATATTGTTTATGTATATTGTTTCTATTTCTATATCCTGATATTTTCATTTGGTATTTGTCATGAGCCATGTTTCATTTTAGTATGTTTCATTATACATATTGCCAATAATCCTTTTTAGGATGAGGGAATTTTTCAAACTAGGACAAATACCTCAAAGAATATTTTGACAAAAATAGTAAAAAATGCTCCCATTTTCACTGAACTTACTCTGTTAATACTTATAGATTTACCCTTTTTTTGGCAATAGCTTCAGTATTATTCTATACTATGGAGTGTCACAGTTTATTAAACCATCCTCCTATTGTTGGAGATATAGGGTATATTTCAGTTTTTACTTTTAATGTAGTACTCCATTAACTCAATTAAAAATGGGCCAAGCACCCCTCCTGCATTGCTGGTAATAATGTAAAGTGGGGTAGCCATTCTATAATAGTGCAACTGTGGAAAAAATTTGTCATTACTCAGAAAGTTAAATATAGAATTGCTACTATATGGCCCAGCAACCCAATTCTAGGTATATACCCAAGATAAGTGGGGAGCATTATTACTAGCTAAAAAGTAGAAATTACTCAAATATCCACCAACTAAATAATGGATAAACAATATGCAGTATATCCATATAGCAGATTGTTATTTAACAATAAAGAAGAATGAAATCTGGTGTGACATTGATGAATGTGGAAAATATTATTTTGTGGGAACTGTCAGAAAAAAGACCACATATGATTCCATTTATATGAAAGGTCCAGGACAGGCAAAGCCATAGAGACAGAGAGTAGCTTAGTGGTTGTTGAGGGCAGAGGAGGGGAGAGGTGGAACTGGGAGTGATTGCTTGATGGGTATGCAGTTTCTTTTTGGGGTGAGGCAAATGCTCTGGAATCAGTGGTAAAGATTGCACATCCTTGTACATATGCTGAACACCACTGAATCTTTTTAAAATGGTGAGTTTTAAGTCATGTGCTTTATATCTCAATAAAAATTATTTTAAAAATGGGCAAAAGACTTGAACAGGCACTCCTCCAATAGTCAAAAATATAAAAATGTGCTGGACATCATTGGTCATCAAAGAAATGCAAGTTAAAACCACAGTGTGATATTACTGCTTACATATTGGAATACCTAAAATTAAAAATATGGCCATATAGAGTAGGGGCAAGAATGTGGGAATTTAACTGTCTTTCCTTGCTGGTGGGAATGCAAACTGGTACAATTACTTTGAAAAAAACTGGTTGGTTGGACCTACTTAGTGTAAACATGCATATAGTCTGTGATTCAGCAGTTCTATTCTTGGGTATGTAGTCAACAGAAATGAATACTTATTTCCTAAAGAAAATATAAATAAGAATGCTCTAATACCTCTATTCATACTAGTCCCAAGCTAGAAAAATTAAAATGTTCACCAGTAGAGGCCAGAAAAATAGTGATCTGTTCAGACAACAAAAAATGAATAAACTGTTGATACATAAAACAACGTGGATGTATCTCGCAGGCTCCCTACAGCTATAACATGTTCAATGTCAAAAACCTTCTATCATATACCACAATTTCTTTATCCATTCATCTGTTGATGTGCACCTAGGTTGGTTCCATAGCTAAGCTATTGCAAATTGTGCTCCTATAAATATTGATGTAGCTGCATCATGTAGTATGCTGATTTTAAATCCTTTGGATATATGCTGAGGAGTGGGATAATCGGGTCAAATAGAGATTCCATTCCTAATTTCAGAGGGATTGCACCAATTTGTGGTTCCACCAATAATGTATGAATTCATGCAACTTGAAAAAAAAATGAGAATGTACAACAACAAATAAACTATAACCCAGGTTCCCACTACATAGGAAGCCCCTGGGAACCTTGGTCTGTATGCACCTGGACACCCTGCTGAGCTTTTAAGAAAACCTGAGTACATTCACCCGTGCTTACCTTCCACAGAGTCACACTTGGAACCGACCAGCCAACAACCAACTGACCAACTGGGCAGGAAGGTGAGGAGTTTCTGCTGCAGTGTGAAGGTGTGAAAGCCACTGGCCCCTAATCTCCTTATCTAGGTATTACACTCAGCCTTCTTGTTCCTCTCCACCTGCCTGACCATGCTCACTCTTGGGCACTCACCCCTTGAAGCTCCTGCCCCTTCACATGGCCAGGATCCCGGTTAATCCCTGAGGACCACTTCATGGGCCCATTCTTTGCCCTCTGTAGGAGGCAAACTTTGGCACGTTTGATCCCATGAATCCGCATCCACTCCACTGAGCAACCCCGTGACTGCATATGGTCAGCATCTCTCAGTGTTACCCCCACCCCCTTCAGCTGTTCAGAACTGATCAAGACTATGCAGTGAGTGCTTTCCCCCTTCCCTTCTGTACCAGTAAACTCATGGCCTCCACAGGTCTCCTTGTCCCCAAGCAAGATCTATTCTTTCTCATGACTGACTGCTCCCCCACACTTTTGATCCCTGCCACCTCCAAAAGGACTTTTCTCCTTCAGTTCTCTCCCATCTCACCAGCATGAAGATAAATGTGGGGTATGACCTCCAGGGGCCCACAGGACAACAGAAAAAAAAATGGTCAATGTTATTGGTTTACAGCCCAGAATAAGCACTAACATATAGACATGAATCCTGAGGTGGGAGACAGAAAGGGAGAGTGTGGGAAGGTCTGGACAGGGCACCAAAGCTCAGAAACGGAGATGATTCCCTGCCCAGTAGCCCCTCTTTATGATGCACTCTTAGAGCCCCATGGAGACACAGCCAGAGCCAGTTAGGATGTTTACTTCTTCTCTAAATATTTCATATACTTTAAATGAGATATTTTGAATCTATAAAGATTCTAGTATCTTTCTTACAACCCCTAAAGAAGGGCATAAAACTTGTGCACTGAAGACTTATAATCTAGCGACTACAAGAATCTGACCCAATTCATCTTGTAATTTATTTTATTGAAGTATTATAAAGTTCCATTTCTCATTGTTTTATATACAATGTATTGAAGTGAACTAAAGTAAATCATTTATAATTTGAAAAGACATTAGTACATAGTAGGGTGGCATTGCTTCATAATCATGTGTTATTCCCACTCCTGAGATGTATGTCTCTAGTGCAGAATCACAGTTTTGCCTGAGACCTTGTCAGAGGCACAAGGGGGTAGGGGATTCCTCGGGTGTATAAGAAAGTGGTAGATCCTCAGGTCACACAGGTCAGGAGTGTACATCAAAGGAAACTTTATGATCTGAAGGGAAGGAATGAGAAGGTTTGGGGCATAAGAAATAGCCAGTTTCCATAAAATCTGGGAAACAGATTTCTCAAAAGAAAAAAGTGACACAAGTCTTCAGTTACTTTTTTTTTTACTCGTTGGTACCAGGGATTGAATCCAGGGGCCCTTAACCACTGAGCAATGTCCTCAGCCCTTTTTTAATTTTGAGACAGGCTCCCGCTAAGTTGCTTAGGACCTTGCTAAGTTGCTGAAGGAGGCTTTGAATTTTCAATCCTCCTGCCTCAGCCTCCCAAACTGTTGGGGTGACAGGCCTCTGCCACTGCACCTGGCGTCTTCAGTTACTTTTAGTAAAAAAGTTAAAAATATATTGGGGTGTTGATTAGGTACAGAAAAACACTTAGGTTGCCTTTTAAAACTTAGTTTTAAAAGTTATTGTATAAAAATATTAAACCATGAAAAAGTATGGCAAATATGTTGGCAGACACAATTTAAAGAAATATTCTTTCAGAGAATATGGTAATTGGCACAGCAATTAAGGCTTGATAATATATTTGTTTTAAATAGATTATATATAAAATACTTTTTATGATTAATTTGAGATTGAATATTCTCTTAAAAATTAGAGGAATCTGAAGTAAGAAATATATATATTTATGCTGAGCTGTTTTTAGTAAAACTTAAAAAAAAAGTCATTGAAATCCTTCCCCACCCTGTAGGAAAGGGGACTTTGGGTGGGTCTGGTGGCCAAATAAGACTATTTCTTGGAAGACACAGCCATAGAACCAATTTGTGGCTTCATAAATGTCTCTGAGCTTCACAGGAAACTCAAAAACGTTAGAAGCCACTGGTCCCCAGATCTCATTCCCTAGTGTGGAGCCCTGTCACAAGACAGATTAGATCAAAGGCATCTAGAAGAAAATATGATCCTTCCAGGGATTCCAGTAAAAGCCAACTGAGATTCTGAAGTGAGATAGGGCCTTTCCAACCACAGTGGATTCTTACAAAATGACAGCAGCAGCAGCACCACCACCACTGAGAGACAGAGATGTGGCCAGTTGGGAAGAACTTTCTTTTCTTCCTGAAATCACATTCCAAAGCATTTCCAGTTCCAGGGAATAAACCGTGTTCTTCATCTGTGACTTCACTCAGGCTTGGAGGGACCAGCGCATTGACCTTTTCTCCTGCTATAATCTATTGAGAAAGCCTAGCTTGAAACTGCTGGGGATCTGAATCATTTCCAGAGCATGTGGAGAGGCAGTAAAAGGAAATGTGACTTGAAAGAGGTATTTGGTATCTAACATCAGCTGTGATGAATCCTCCCGGCTATTCAGAAGTGCCTGAAATTAGAACCAGAGGAAAAGTGAGTATGGAAACCAGCGCATTCAGCTTCACTGCTACCTGGAGGTCAAGAGCAAAGAAAACCCAACAGCTGCAGCTTCAACGGAGAACTCCTGTCCACATCCTGTCATCTCACACTCTTCAGCAGCTCAGCTCCAAGACAAAAGATCTGTCCAGCTCTCATGAATCCTTTTGTTCCAGAAGTGAATTTCCCACAGGATGGGCTGACTGTAAATCTGTTTTCTATTCTTACATATTCTCATGGCATAATTCTAAGTGCAAACTTTGGGTCTTATGGCTGCTTTATATTCTTAAAAATTATGAGGACTTCTCACACCAATCAGAATGGCAGTCATCAACAAATTCTGAAGAGGATGTGGAGAAAAGGAACACTTACACTGTTAGTGGGATTGTAAATTAGTACAACCACTATGGAAATCAGCATGGAGGTTCTTCAAAAACTAGGCAGGAACCACCATATGACCTAGCAATACCACTCCTTGGTATTTATCCTAAATAATCAAAGTCATCATATTATGGTGATACATGTATACCCATGTTTATAACAGCACAGTTTGAAATAGTCAAACTATGGAACCAGTCTAGGTGTCCATCAATGGATGAGCAGATAAAGAAAATGTGGTGTATACACAATGGAGTTTTATTCATCCATAAAGGAAAATGAAGTCATGACATTTGAAGGAAAATGGATGGAACTAGATAACATTATGTTAAGTGAAATAAGTGAAAATCAGAAGGTCAAAGGTCATGTTTTCTCTTACATGCAGAAGTTAGAGAGGAAAAAAGAAAAAAAAGGAGGGGGCAGATCTCATGAAAACCAACAGGGAGCTCAGTAGAGGAATGGGACCCAGGAGTGGGAGGTGGGAAGGGAAGGAGGAAGTTCTGAAGGTGATCTTGGCCAAATTATATTGTTATAATGTTGGCATGTATGGATATGTAGTAACAGATCACATCATTATGTACAATTATAATGTACCAATAAACAATGTGGAAAAAATTTATGAGGACTCCAAAGAACTTTTATGTATGTGGCTGTAATTATTGACATTTATTTTATCAATAATTAAAATATCAATTTAAAATATTCACTAATTCACTGGGATAATAATAGATCCAGTATGTGTTAAACATGACATTTTCAATGAAAAAGAACTAATTTTCAAAAAAAAAAACTTAGGTGAGAAATGATGTTTCCTATTTCTATAAATCTCTTTAATGTCTGATTTAATATAAGACACATGACGTAAGATATTATATCTGCTTATGCACTCAATCTGTTGTGAGATGTTATTTTGGTTGAAGTAGATGAGAAAAATCCTGCCTCACCCAGGTTATGTCTTTGGGAAAAGGAAGGATTTTGCAGACCTAGGAAGGATCTCAAGGACCCCTCCCCCCACCCCAGAACCTTCAAACCAAACTTGGGGAACTGCTGTCCTAGTTCACTGGGGGAAGAAACTTTAGGGATTACATAAGAAAACCAGATATGCAGGTCCCTATTTCTATTCAGCTGTGCCCATCTGTGCTGTATTTCAAGACCAATCAGAAACAAGATGGGCTGAAAGATCAATCACAGCAGCTGAGACCCAGTTTGAGTGTTTTCATTCCCTTCCCACCAGGACTAAAATGGATTCTGAAAGCTGGGAACATTCCTATTGCCTCTGAGCTGGGTGTCTTTCATTTGCACGTATGGTAAAATGTACTTTAACCTTGGATTTCAAATTAATTATGTATCAGTGGCTTATATCATACTTAACAGGTAAAATTAAAAGGCACATCCTGAAGGATCTCACCTGTACTTTTCGAACAAAGGATGGAGTCACTCTTTTCTCGAAGTCATCTATAGGTGTGTATGAATTAAGGATCTTTATGATCTGCAAACATCACATAACATGGTATTAGACCACGAAAGACAACACTCTGGTCATGTAATAACAGTCATGGAATTTTGAGAACCACAGTTGGTTCTTTTATACTGTCATTTGGCTCAGGAATCATGTTTTCTATTTCCAAGAGAAGAGAAAACAAGGGGAGAAGGGTGTAGAAGACAAGCAAACACAAATAACTTATAATTAGATGACAGTAAAGGAACCCCCCTTTCCAACTTCCCTGCCTCCCACGTGTGCACCCTTCACACATGCACATGTATGAGTTTAATGATCAAAGAGATATCACATACGTGTTTGTGTTTTAAGGCCTAGAGTTAGTATCTAATATATATTTAGTAGGCAAAAGGGTGGGCCCTGGGAGACAAGTGTGCTCTGTGAACACAAAGTCCAGCGCAACCCGGCTGACTGAGCCAAGAAAAGCCATGGCAATCCACGATATGTCCTAGAAGATCCAGGAAGGCACTAGGGAAGGCTGGTCACCTGCACCGCTGACAATGAGGTGCAGCGTTCGTAGATCTCCTTGGCATCGCTGTCTGT